AGGTCAGAAAATACGGGGGAGGGAAATGCCACGAAGACTGATAGTTTGGCCGCCACGAACGAGAAGGTCCACTAATGTAATAAGTGGTGCCTTGCGTGTGAACCAGACTTGCGATGCAGTCCCCCCACCCACCCTGGCCAACCGACTGGAAGTGGAGGTGAGTGCAGTGAATGACTAAGCTGAAGAGCCCGCGTACGTGCAGCACATACCGTCTGCTCCCAACTTCACATGTAACAGGTTTAATCCAAGGGAGGAGTGAGTAAGCATAATGTAATGTGACAGTTCGATTGTGGATTTTCACGACTTCTCCTGTGTACTTCACAGCGAGTGGGCCCTGATAGGGTGACTTAGGCGTGACTTAAGTTATAGTGATAGTAGACCAGCGCAACACCTACCACACTCTTTTTCCTCACCCATGTGTCCGGGCAGTCCTTCTCTAAGGTTGCAAATGCTGGGCCTTGCGTGTGAAAGATGAGCGAAGGCTGGAGATATCTTGTCACCAGTGGAGTAAACCAACTTTGTTTCAAATGAGACAGTCTATACTCGCTGCTGTGACCATTAAAAAAAACAACTGAGATGATTTGGGCACATTCTCAGTCGTCCACCTCAAGAGCTCAGCTATACTGCCTTTGATCCGACGCTGATTTCCAACTGGAGGCGTTGTATAAGAGGTCTTATCAAGACCTGGCTCGACACACTTCGTCAAATCATGAAAGAGGTTCTTGGACTTTCGGTATTTGGTTTATAACGTTGGAGAAGAAAAAGGTTGAACTTTCCAAATCGTCTACCGCAAATTGTCATGCGTGGAGAGATGTAATAAGTAACATCATTGAGACCAGCTAGATCAGGCATGAACACAGTCGAACAGTGACAGAACGAGCAGAGAAGGAACCGGAAAGGATTGTTTACAGATTCAAACAGCTCGTCTACGCGTGTCGCACACACAAGAGCACAACATGGAACGAAATTGGCCCGGATTCCAATCGATTGGGGTGTCATGAATGCCACAGTAGGAAGGAGTTACTGATACCTAAGTCTGCGTCGCGAAAGGAGGATCAATGTGAGGGGTCTTATCCACCCTTTCATCACGAACGGGAGAGTTAACACACGATAATACCCTTACAGGTACTTCCGTGACATACAATTATATGATTACTCCTACGAGATGAAATAGGACCATGACACAGCTGAAGAAATACGTAGTAGCAATGCGGCAGTTAGTGAGGATACAACTGAAGAACGGCCCGTGAAGGCTGGGCTGCAGATTGAAAGAGCTGGTCAAAGCAAAGCCCTACCTAAAGATTCCCAAGGTTATGACAAAACTGGATGTAGCCCACGATATGCCCAAATCATCCCGAAAGGCAAAGCTTGACACAAAGATATCATAGGAACTGAATAATAAGTCAAAATTCCACCGTTTAGTCGCACAAAGCGATGCAACGGCCACACCTAAAACGACGCTCAAGCTATCACAGACCGCCAAAGACTCGATCTCTGCAATGAAATATTTGGAGATAGCAAAGACCCCAGAATTATGCAACATCTACAAAACTCCCCGTTGGACCATGAAACTCAGTAAACACAGATTATTAGGAAAAGCAACTACAGCTCTAACATAAAACGAACAAGCAGATGTGGTTTCCAAATCTAGAATTTTCCTGATTTTCGATACGGTACTTTGTTTTCTTTCGCACTGTCTCCTGAATGGTGCATGTTTCTATACCGGCCAGGGGCGAGGACGACAAACTTCCACACAGAGTAAGCAAATGGCAAAAGAAGAGGGGCGGATTACCAGTTGTAGTGTTGAAGGCGCCTGGATAGATGAGAAGATCACAACCGCGTTGACGAGCGTAGATAAGGGCAAACTCGGGGAAACGTATGTCATAGCAGATGCCCATGCCTACGGTGAACACGTGGCCATCCTTGTTCTTGGCCTTAAATGACAGGAAGTTGGAACCCGGTGACAGGGTGTCCGATTCGTGGAAGCTGATCTTGCCTGCGATAAATAAGGCGTAGGAGGGGCACATTTGAATAGAAAAAAAATGGCGAAGAATCACTTGTAGATAATAGGCAGCAGGAGCAGTATCTATCAGTATCAGTTTATTGAGGGAAGATAAGCGAATGCCTTTGAACTCCCTGTTGGTAACAGGATGATAGGAAAT